TGTCTCTCCCCTCTGTCAGCAACATGATTGCCTTCTTCATGGCATCCCTGGTGCCCATCCCTGCCCTGCGCGCCTTCTCCCTCCAGGTTTGGCTGGGGTCCCTCTCTGGGGGGTGCGGGAAGGGGTGACTGGACCCGGCTCTGACATGTCCCCTGCCCACAGGCTGCGGTGGTTGTGGTGTTCAACTTTGCCATGGTGCTATTCGTCTTCCCTGCCATCCTGAGCCTGGACCTGCACCGCCGGGAGAAACACCGGCTCGACATCCTCTGCTGCCTCTACAGGTACCGGCACTGGGCTGGATGGGATGGGGCTGAACGCACGGGTACCTCCTCAGAAGCATGGTCTGCTCCTCTCCCTCAACATCTTCTCCTCCTTCCCTCTCTCCTCCTTTCCTCTATCCCTGCAGCCCTTGCTCCTCGCGGGTCATCCAGATCCAACCCCAGGAGCTCGCCGACGCCAACGACAACCATGCCTGCCACCCGTCCCCTTACGGGCACCCCAGCATGGCCACCAGCACCCAGATCACCACCACGGTGCAAGCGTTCACCCGGTGCGACCCCTCGGGTCACCACGTCGTCACCGTCCTGCCGCCCACCTCCCAGGTGTGCACCTCGCCCGCCGTCCTCCTGCCCCCCACCGACCCCCTGGGCTCGCAGGTCTTCGCCCCATCCAGCTCCACCCGGGACCTGCTGGCCCAGCTGGACGAGGCCAAGGGGGGCCGGGAGTGCGTCCCCCTGCCCTTCTGCCGCTGGAGCCTCGCCGACTTTGCCCGGGAGAAGTACGCCCCGCTGCTCCTGCGGACCCGGACCAAGGTGAGGTGGGGACAGCCCGGGGGTGCCATCTGAGGCAGGTGGGTGGCACGGACCCTGACTGACCCCCCACTGTCCCCGCAGGCGGTGGTGTCGGTGCTGGTCCTGGCGCTTCTGGGGCTGAGCCTCTACGGCACCACCATGGTGCACGACGGGCTCTACCTGACGGACATTGTGCCGCGGGACACCAAGGCGCATGCCTTCATCTCGGCCCAGTTCAAGTACTTCTCCTTCTACAACATGTTCATCGTCACCAAGGGTGGCTTCCATTACCCGGGCGCCCAAGCCGCCCTGCTCAGCCTGCACCAGGCCTTCAGCACCGTCAAGTACGTGGTGCGGGAGGGCAACCAAGACCTACCCAAGATGTGGCTCCACTACTTCCAGGACTGGCTGCGAGGTGAGAGACATTCCTCTTCCCCATGCCCTCCCAAACCTGCACCCTCCCCACTGGCCTAGGAATGCCTTCCCCGGCGTGTGGCACCCTGAGGGGGGTGGTCCCATGGTGCCCCCAAAGTGCCAGCAATGCCCAGCTGAGCCCTGGTGTTGCTGCATGGACACCCTGCTGGCACTGTGCTTCCAGGGGCGCACGGGATGCCATGCAGGGTGGCGTGCCCCAAGGGATGCTCACCCCTTGTGCTGCGTCCCCAGGGCTCCAGGCCACCTTCGACAGGGACTGGCAAGCGGGGCGCATCACCCACGACAGCTACCGCAATGGCTCTGAGGACGGGGCGCTGGCGTACAAGCTCCTGATCCCGACTGGCAACAAGAAGGAGCCCTTCAACTTCAATCAGGTGTGTGGGGACGGGGCTGGAGTGACGGGGCTGGGGACGGCGCTGTGCCCGCTGCCCTGCTCACGCCCGCTTGTGCTCTCTCCTCGTAGCTGACCACACGGCGGCTGGTGGATGAGAACGGCATCATCCCCCCTGACACCTTCTACATGACGGTGCGGGCCGCCAACGACCCCCTGGGCTTCGCCGCCTCCCAGGCCAACTTCTACCCCCCACCGCCCGAGTGGATCCATGACAAGTACGACACCACGGGCGAGAACCTGCGAAGTGAGTGAGCGCAGTGGGCTCCCCGCGGCTCCCCCTTGCTCCCCGGCATCCCCCTGCAGAGGACCCCACTCCCTGCATCTTTTCTGCCCCACAAGCATCCCCCTGAAGAGAAACCCCCAACATCCCTTGTCGTGTCCACATCCTCTGGTAGAGAAACTGCCCTGCTTCCCCATGCCCCACGCTTGTCCCCCTGCACCCCACACCCTGAGCATCCCACTGCGCACTGCCCCTGCCCTTCGCGCTCCTGCTGCAGCAACACCCCCTGACTCCAGACCACGAGCATCTCTCCTCAAAAAAGCCTCTCTACTCTGTTCTCCCTCTGCCCCACAAGCATTCCCCTGCTCCCTGCCACCCCCTACCCCACAAGTGTCCTGCCGGCAGAGAAACCCCCTCCTCCTTGCCCCCAGTCTGCTCCCCGTGTGGTACCCAGCCCCGTGGTACCCAGCCAGGCATCGGGCTGCCTGAGCTGCCCTCTGGCTGGTGTGGCTGGGGGGGCCCCCTGCTG